CACCTTTATTTGTTATGGTGGTTTGGAAATCATAAATGAAAGCCTGTCCATGTCCAACACCGGTTTGAATATATGTGTAGGTGGTCAAATATTTGGATTGGTTTAAAGAGACACCTCTCATGGCATTCCCATAAAATATGTATTCACATGGAAATTCGCCTCTGAAATTATTATAAGAGAGATCAAGAATACGCAGCTCAGGGAAGTGAAGAAACTCAAAAGGGAAAAACATCATTGAACTCATTGTTTGACAGAACAAGAAACTCAAGCATCACACAGTTTTCCAATGACCTCGGCAATTGTCCTTGCAATTTGTTATCACTAACATCAATCATCCTCAGATTGCTTGTGTTGGAGTATGCTTGGGGAAGAAACCCACGGAAGGAGTTGTTTCCAAGACGTAAAACTCGTAGATCATCACTGAAGGTTCCTAGACACCGAGGAAGCATGCCACTCAACTTATTATTCAACAAATCAAGGTACTGAAGAGAACTTAGATTGCAAATCGATGGTGAAATTTCTCCATCTAACTTGTTGTCTGAAATGCCATAGTATATGATGTTTGGTCGAGGTATTGGTAAAAGTCCATGTAGCATGTTAGAATAAAGCCTCAAAACTTTTAGGTTAAGCCAGGGAAGGAGTATAGAGTTTTGATGGTCAAAGCCGGAAAGGAAGTTTACAGACAGGTCCAGAAACCCCAGAGTTTCTATGCTTGTGTTCAAAAACCATTTCGGCACTTGGCCATGCAATTTGTTTCTAGAAATATCCAACCAATCCAAGTTTTGTTGATACCTTAGGAAATTGGGGAACTCTTTTATGTTGCACAATGCTAATTTAAGAAGCGTAAAGTTTGGGACAGTCGCATTCACAATTCTGGATTCAGTGAGCAATATTTCCAACTTGGGACCAGCTAGTTGAAGACGGGTGACATTTTGTAGCTTAAGAATCTCGACTGAACCGCGCAAGTCATTTTCATCTAGATAAAGGGTGTTGAGATGCCTAAGAGTGAAGAATGACTTGGGGATTGAACTACTCAGTTTATTTATACCAAGGTCTATAGATTCTAGTCTGCTAAGGTTAGCTAGCCAAGATGGGATCGTACCACTTAGTCCATTATAGGAAAGATCAAGTTTAGTGAGCTGTTGAGTAAGTTTGGTTTGCTTACCAAGCCAAGAATAGGGACCACTACTAAAATTATTATCAGAAAGTTGGAGATATGTGAGTTGAGTAAGGTTTGACAAGGAAGCAGGGATTGGACCATTAAATTTGTTTAGTGAAAGGTCAAGATATACCTGAGCTGCCTAAGATTACCAAGTGAGAGGGGAACCATACCTGAGAAGTTGCATTCACTCACATCTAACTTGTTCAAGGATTCAAGCTTTTCGAATGAAGAAGGTAGAATTCCAGAAAAACTTGTTCCTGCCAGTTCCAGTACCATGAGAGGACTACTTCGATTAAATTCAGGCAGATAGCCAGTGATACCTTGGTTGAATCTCATGCTAAGAATTTTCAAGTTTTGTAATCTGAAAACTATTGCGGGGAATTCACCAAACATGCCACAATTTGTTAAGTTGAGAGATGTCAAAAGTGACAAATTTGCCATGTAATTGGCTACTCCTGAAGATATGTCAACACGACTAAGATCAAGTTCTTCTAGGCTAGTGAAGTTTCGAACTAGGCTTTTCATAGTTGATGCTTCAAGTTTCAACAAATTTTCCCAAGAAAATGGGTCAATATTGAGAGATAGATCAAGCGACGACAACTTGGACAACTGTGTAACTTCCGTTGGGACTTGACCAGAAAAGACAGACACAGAGAGGTTGAGATAAGTGAGCTTTGGCAAATTCCTAATTTTAGTAGGAATTAGAGAGTAATTGAAGTCATTATCAGCGAGGTTTAGTCTCTGTAGATGAACAAGACTGAAGAGGCTGCTGTTGGAACTGATAGAGCCGTAGAGACAACTGCTGCTGAGATCAAGGCCAATCACATGACCCGTCTCCTCATCACAATCGACACCGTCCCATGAGCAGCAGTTGAAAGTTTCTCCTTCAGCTAGTTTCCAAGATGAAACCTTTGGATAAGACCCAAAATAACCCGAAGCAGATGCCTTGATGACAAAGCTTTCCTTGAATTGCAGCAAGGCAGAGCTCTCCACATCATGGCAAGATGGCTGCTGCTGCAAAGAGTATAAAGAGTTCGCAACCACAAGATAAAAGAACAGCAGAACTACTTTTGAAAGCTTGGAAATGGACACATTAAAAAGGCTTAGGGGTAACCCCATGATATTTTTTCTTGATAATCGAGAATTTTGTTGATCTTTGTAAACTAAACATGCATGAAAGGTAAAGTGAGAGCGAGAGAGCCAAAACTTATAGATTGGACTAAATTATTGAGCAATGACATGACAAGATTAATTTTCAAACAAGGTGTGCGGATTGGGACAAAAATATTATGAGACGTACTTTTCCTCAAAGTCAAGCTAAATAATCGTCTATGAAAGTGAAGGCTCGAGAGCTACCTATTGATGGGAATAATTGAGTTGATCGAACGATCTTGGGTCGGTGGGGAACATGGGACAGGGCTTCTTTTGTTTTTGTCTTTTGTTTTTAAATATTAAATTTTATATTAAAGTAATTATTTTTAATTTAACATAAAATATTTTTTAATTAATGAAACTTACGGAATTGAGGCACATGTTGCAAATGTGGTGATCAAATTTGGAAAATTAAAACCAAACCAAAAGCATTTTCGACCCTAACCCAACTGACCAAAAATTAATTTTTTAACCTTAAAGTATTCTATAATTACTCGTAAAATTGACACCGTATGAATTTGTAAATGATTGACAGCTAGTAGAGCATTTACCAGGAAAGGGTAAGGTTATGCATTTGATGTTGTGGTTTGCCTTTTTTTTTTTTGGAGGTTATATCTCTGTTATAATAATTTTGTAAAAGAAAAATCGGTATTTACTTATGAAATACTTAAGCACAAAATACAGTTTTAAATCAGCAGCTAATTACAATATCATAACAAGGGAAAAAAGAAATTTATTGAGAAGAGAGTGTATGGCAAGTCAAGTGTAATCTAAAACCAGCACTGTGAAAATCTCATTATAAAAAAAAAAAAAAAAAAAAAAAAAAAAAAAAAAAAAAAAAAAAAAAAAAAAAAAAAAAAAAAAAAAAAAAAAAAAAAAAAAAAAAAAAAAAAAAAAAAAAAAAAAAAAAAAAAAAAAAAAAAAAAAAAAAAAAAAAAAAAAAAAAAAAAAAAAAAAAAAAAAAAAAAAAAAAAAAAAAAAAAAAAAAAAAAAAAAAAAAAAAAAAAAAAAAAAAAAAAAAAAAAAAAAAAAAAAAAAAAAAAAAAAAAAAAAAAAAAAAAAAAAAAAAAAAAAAAAAAAAAAAAAAAAAAAAAAAAAAAAAAAAAAAAAAAAAAAAAAAAAAAAAAAAAAAAAAAAAAAAAAAAAAAAAAAAAAAAAAAAAAAAAAAAAAAAAAAAAAAAAAAAAAATAAGGGAAAAGAAAAAAAAGGGATCTATCGCATGCGAGTTATAATCCACATGCCACGCTAAATAAACAAATTATCATGCTATGATAAAAAAATATAATCTCATGCTAAAAAATTAAAACAATCCTTCCCAAGGGCGATAAGGTAAAATATGCCGAGCAACATGCCATGCCGTTATCTCGCACCCAACCACGCTACAAGCCTAGGTGGGCCCAAGCCACTCAAAAAAACCCGGGGCTTGCTTGAGTGGGTTGTGGCATGGATGGTGATAAATCAACATGAGACCCATTGATGGACCGAGAAATGGAAAGGTCTCGGGTTGCTTGGGAGCCTCGAGACTCAAGCCCATTTCTTAGGCCCAAACATGTGGGTAAGCACAAGAGAGAAAGAAATAGCCCAATACCCAAGCAAAACAACCCAACCAAAATAAAGCCCAAACTAAGAAGCCCAATGTTTAGTAAAAGACCTTTTGCTTAGAAATCATCTTGGCCCTTATAAAATCCTAAAATAGCCCACAAAAAACCTCAGCTTTTGGAGAAAACAGAGGACACGTGAAGAGAGGATGGCAGACTCCTTAAGCAAAGCTGCTGGAAACCAGTCCCAAGCCAGAGACATCCAAAGAACCGATGAATACCATCCCGCATGCTGTCAGAAGCATCCCTTGGACCAGCATACATTTTCACCTCTTTTCCTTCATCAGATTCAGCCAAGGAAGAGGAAAGAAAAGAAGAAAAAACAGCAAACCAAGAGTGGAAGCCCTCATTGCACAGCCGCGGGAAAGGAGGATGTTGAGCCCCCCAAATCCCCTGAAATTCATGAAAATAGACAGAAGCAATCTTTGCCAAGAAAGGGAAGTCAGAGAAGGGGAGGAGAAAGGAAGAAAAGCTTAGCCAAAGTAAGTAGAAGCCATTAGGGTTTCTTGAAAAATGGTGATTTCCGGCAGCTATAAATTGAGCCTTCCCCTACCCAACAAACACAACTCACAACCTGCAGAGAGCAAGCTTTTCTCTCTATCTTGCAAAACTCAGACTCGTGCACTGTTCATCTTCTTCTCCAATTTGTTTTCTGGCAGCTGCCGGAAGAACCCTGCCTTTCTTTTTTTCTCTTTCTCTAGTCAAAATTCCTCACAAAACACCTCATTCCTTACTTAAACACTTTCATTTCTCATAAACCAAGCCTAATTTCTCTCTTAGTGCTAAACCCATGTTGGTTTTGCTCCCCATGCCTCATGCCACTCATGCTGAGCTAAAAAACCATCTGTAAGCATGCCAAAAACTATCTGCAAGTCACTATTATTCTCATTGGTGAAGATTATCCAAAATATCTCCTAAGGTTTCGCTGCCCTTTCGAGGTATTTTGGGGCTTAATTTTCGAACCTAAACAAAAAGGGGCAATCTCCTCAGTCCGCCTTTTGCAGCAGCCCAGCCCGTTAGCTGCAGGAAGAAAAAGTCCCCTACATAAATTGGCGACTCTGCTGGGGATTAAGCCATTATCTTCATCAATGCCTCCAAGAAAGAAGACCAGAAGCAACAACATAACTTCCCAGGATGGGCCAAGCCATGCTGACTCAGAGTCAAGGCAACATGCCTCTTCTAGAGAAGAAGAACGTGCAAGTGAGGGAACTTTTACCCTCACAGATCTTGTTGCAGCCATTCGTGCTATGGGTGAGACCCAGAGGGAGATGGCAGAGATGATAAAAGAACTCAAAAATTCGGCTCCAAAGCCAAGTGAAGTGAATGAGAAGCACCCACAGGAGGAATCTGCTGCTGCCGGAAAGGAGTCTGAGCAGAAGGGACCATCTTTTGTCACTCAGGAGGACGTTGTTGCCATGCTGGAAAAGGAGCTGAGCCGAAGTCAGGAAGATTGGAAATATCTTCCTCAGCCGCCGTATCCGTCAAGCTTACTCCAGCAGCCATATCCTAAAGGCTATGAAGCACCGACCTTTGTCCTCTTTGATGGACGAAAGGGGAGCCCGAAGGAGCATGTCAATCGCTTCATCGATGCCTTGGGACCGTATGCTGGTGATCATAATCTTCGACTTAGAGAATTTTCAAAGAGTCTCACCGATCGTGCTTACACATGGTATACAACGTTGGCACCAGGCTCTATTCATTCCTGGGAAAGTCTGGCAAGCAGGTTCTGTAAGAAGTATTTCCAGCATGAAGAACGAGTCACCACCACTCAACTCAACAACACTCGCCAAAAGCATGGTGAGGATCCCGTGGACTTTGTACGCAGGTTCCGGGACCTGGCATTGGATTGCTATGATGAGAAAGACGAGGAGGCGCTTGTTGAAATTTGCATCAGCAATATCGTGGCAGATTATAGAGTGTATTTGGAGAATATTGGCATTAGTCAACTTTCTCGGCTGCTGGAAGCTGTGAGGAAGACGAGCATGTCCGTCAAGCCACCAGGACAAAGGACTTGGAGGAATGAGAAGAAGGAAGCGCATCAGACATTAGCAATAGATGACAAGCCATCCAACGACTACAATTCATGCAAACGGAAGGATAGAGAGACGTATCCACCACTGCCATGCAATGATGAAGAATTTCATGCTATCCTTGACACAATGATTGCTGATGGCGTAATCAAACCTGTCAGACCCTACAAGGTGCCTACTCGAGAGGAAAAGAATGATCCTAGGTACTGCCGTTATCATCAATTTGTGGGGCATCCAACCACTGCCTGTCAGAGTCTGAGGAGGATTTTACACGCCAAAATACATGAGGGAGTCCTTGAACTTCCCTCTAGGAAGCAAACGATTGATGAAGACCCCTTGCCAAAACGAAGGGGAAAGGAGGTAGCCGCTGTCATTACATGTTCTGATGATTTGCTTGATGATGATGAATTGTGCCACCCTTGGAGGAATGACCCAAAGCCGCCGGAAGCCGTATGGGAACCTTGCGGAAACATGGAAAAGGCATATTGGTGTAAATATTCGAGGCCTTCAAGTTACAACACACCATGGCCACTCGCTGATGGATGGGGTGACAACTCAGGCAGCGAAATTTTTGTTTTGGACATGCCGGAAGAACGCTACTCGGGGGCTTTATCGGAGCAGCAGGAAGCAGCTGCCGTGACATTTCATAATATCACGGAAGCTGAAACAAGTGTGATGGAACGTTATTTAAGCATGAAACAGGGGCCCACAGCTTCACAGGTCCTTCAAAGAAACCCAAAGTTCAAATCACTCTTTGACCAACTTGGCTTCGGGCCTCAAGCAAGAGAAGCAGCTGCTGTAGCCCTGATGAATATCTCTGAGGAGTCTAATTCTCAATGCTTTACAACTCAACCACAAGGGTCATTCTTGGGAAATGACAATGCTATTGTCTTTACGGACGAAGACATGGAAGTTCCATACCCGGACCATAGGAGGCCGCTTTACTTGGAGGGACAAATCAATGATGTGTTCATAAGGAGAGCTTTGGTGGACACGGGTTCCTCTGTCAACATATTACCTCTGTCTGTGCTTACGGCAGCTGGTATCCCATTGTCCAAAATTGTCCAATCACAAACAAACATCAGTGGTTTCGGGAATAAGAGTGAGGTCACAGTCGGGCATCTACAAGTACATTTGAAGGTTGGGCCAATTCGGTCACTTACTAAGTTCTATGTTGTGGATGTGGATGTGGCTTACCATGCTTTGCTTGGAAGGCCATGGCTCAACAAGCATAAGCTTGTGGTCTCTACCTATCATCAATGCGTAAAAGGAAGGATTGGGCTGAGGCCGCTACGCATACCTGGAAACCAAGCACCTTTCAACAAAGATGAAGCTCACTACTCTGAGGCGGAATTCTACACTGAATGCACAGGTGCTGGAAGCAATCCATCCAAGGATTTCGGGACCTACCTTCCTTCGTGGACTGAAATTCGTGATTTAAGCAATGAGGAGCTCATCACCATTGTTGATCGAGAGAGAAAGAGGCACTCGGAAGTCAACAACCATGCCTATGATCATCCCCAATGCTCAAAGGTGACGCTGCCCGATGGACGTATCGTTTACCGCTTATGACGGGGTTGGGGGCTTGACCGTGTCTTACGGGAAAGCCCCGAGTATGGAGGAAAAGTAATGCAAACAAATAGCTGTGGGATTTCCAACAACAAGGCACCCATGCCTTGTGCTTTCCAAGAACCAATGGCAGCACCCAGACACATGCAAGATGGATCGGCAGCAGTAGCTGAGCAGCTGGAAACAATTGATTTGAGTGAGGATCCCTCTGCCCCAAGGCCCATTTCCATAAGTGTTCATTTAACAAGTGAGGAGAGGGCGGCCTTGGTATCTTTGCTAAAGGAATTTCGAGATGTGTTCGCTTGGAGCTATGAGGAAATGCCTGGCTTAAACCCAAGCTTAGTAAGTCATACTCTGAATATTGAGCTTGGTACAAAACCTATCGTGCAGGCAAGAAGGAATTTTCATCCTGAAGTTGAGAAGCAAATCAAGGTGGAAATTGAAAAGTTGTTAGCTGCCGGATTTATTAAGCCAATCAAGCATCCTACGTGGCTAGCAAATATTGTCCCTGTGAAAAAGAAAACCGGTGTGATCAGAATATGCACGGATTATCGAGACCTCAACCGAGCTTGCCCAAAGGACGAGTTCCCGCTGCCTAAACATGGATATCTTAATTGATTCGACCTCGGGTCAAGGCTTGTTGTCATTCATGGATGGGTTTAGTGGCTACAATCAGATCAAGATGTCTCCCAAGGATGCTGAGAAGACAGCCTTTCGAACACCGTATGGGAATTTTTATTATACGGTCATGCCATTCGGCCTCAAAAATGCTGGCGCCACCTACCAAAGAGCCATGACAGCGGTGTTTCACGACATGATGGGAAAAGAAGTCGAAGATTATGTGGATGACCTTGTGGTGAAGTCCAAAACCAGAGAAGGCCATCAAGAAGTTTTAAGAAGAGTGCTGGAAAGGTGTCGGCTGTACGGTTTGAAGATGAATCCAAAGAAGTGTGCGTTCGGGGTTTCATCCGGTAAATTCTTGGGGTTTCAAGTACACCAGCGTGGCATAGACGTGGATCCTGAAAAGACTAAAGCCATAAATTCTCTTGCACCGCCTAAAAACCCAAAAGAATTGAAAAGCTTTATGGGAAGATTATCGTATATTCGGCGCTTTATCCCAGGTCTTGCTGCCACCATGAGTGCTTTTACTCCATTGCTCAAGAAAGGCAAGCCGTATGAATGGAGTGAGAAGTGCCAAGAAGCTTACAAGAAGGTGCAACAAATAATCACCAAGCTGCCCACTATGAAAGCACCTATTCCGGGGCTTCCTCTCAAGCTTTATTTGGCTGCAACAAACACAGCGGTTGGGGCCTTACTTGCTCAAGATGATCACAGTGGGGAAGAAAGTCCTATTTATTACGTAAGTAGGCAACTAAGGGGATCTGAAGTAAGATATCCGAAAACTGAACTTTTGTGCCTTGCTCTTGTCTATGCTGCACAGCGCTTGCGGCATTACTTCCTTGCTCACAAGCTACATCTCATGGTGAAGTCCGATCCCGTAAGATATTTGCTTACAAGGCCGGTATTATCCGGACGCCTTGCACGTTGGTTGCTACAACTGTCCGAGTTTGATATCACCTGCACCACCCCAAAAGCCATCAAAGGGCAGGCCGTGATTGACATGTTGGCTCTATTTCCCGAAGTTGAAGAATCAACAATCTCTAAGGAAGTTCTGGGGGAGCTGCCGGAAATGGTTGCTGTTGTCACAGAGGCAGAACCATGGACCCTCTACTTCGATGGGTCTTCTACATCGAAGGTGGAGGGGCAGGTGTGGTGCTTGTCAATCCCGAGGGGCAAGCCACGGCCCTCTCGTTTAAGCTAAATTTCCCATGCACAAATAATACGGCAGAGTACGAAGCTTTTATTGCAGGGATGTCTACAGCAAGGGAAATGGGTGTCAAAGAATTAAAATTATTGGGGATTCAAACTTGGTGCTGAGTCAATTACAAGGAAATTTCGCCGTGAAGGAACCAGCATTGGCACCATATCGTACAGCTGCTGAAAGGCTTGTTCGTTCGTTCAAACAGGTTGTGTTGGAACATATCCCGGGAGTCACTAATAGATATGCTGATGCGTTGGCCACTTTGGGGTCGAGGCTCTCATTTATTGAAGAACAGCCCAATATTGCAGTAATCAAGAAGGACACGCCAGTTGTTGAAGCAATGGCTCAAGAGGAGCAGCTGGAAGAGGATGACTGGAGGAAGCTTGTGAAAGAAAAAATAGGCAAAGGAAGCGACATCAAAGAATTGAAGGATTATGCGATCATCTTTGGGGAACTGTACAGACGCCTTCCGGGAGGTATTTTGACCCGCTGCATAGGGATAACAGAAGCACAGGAGAAGCTTCAAGAGGTACATGAGGTCACTTGCAATTTGGAGCCAATAATCAGCTTGTACCGGCGCCTGCAGCGCAAGGGTTATTACTGGCCAGAAATGAGGAAACAAGCAGCTGAAATACAAGCCAATTGTCCCAAGTGTGCAAAGATACCTTCCACCGAGGAATCATTCACCGTCTCGTTTGCGGAGGATTGGAGGGCTCCATACTTGGCATCCTTCATCAATGGAGTCTTGCCAACCAATCCCAAGCATGCACGCAAGCTCAAAAGGACAATGAAAAGATACTTCATAGATGGGTCAACTCTTTACCGTAAGGGGTTTAATGGTGAGCCATTAAAATGCTTGGGAAAGTCAGAGGCACAGCAAGTCATGCAAGAGATTCATGCTGGAGAATGTGGTGAACACCAAGGAATGAAGAAGCTTTACCGGCAGCTGCTGAGTGTTGGGTATTATTGGCCTACAATGAAGAATGATGCATACGACTTTGTGAAGAGGTGTCACACATGTCAAGTTCATGCCAATTTAAGTCATAAGCCTCCCACGCTGCTGCAAGACATGCGCACTCCTTGGCCCTTTCCATACTTGGGGGCTTGATTTGATCGGGACTATCCATCCACCATCCGACAGCTACATATGGATCCTCACGGCCACCGAATATTTCACAAAGTGGGTAGAAGCGGTTCCCTTGCGGAAGGCCACGGGAGCTGCCGTTGCCAATTTCATCCGTGAAAATATTGTATGTAGATTTGGGATCCCATACAAGATTGTCACCGACAATGGCACCCCGTTTGTCAATAAGCAAGTAAGCTCGACACTTAGTGGTTATGGTATCAAGCATCGTCGCTCCACGCCTTATTATCCACAAGGAAATGGTCAAGCGGAAGCCACAAACAAGACTTTATTGAGGATCCTAAGCAAAATGGTTTATGAGTATGAAGGAGGTTGGAGTGTTCACCTGCCGGATGCTTTATGGGCTTACCGCACCTCTTCAAGAAGTGCCACAGGTTTCTCGCCCTATTCACTTGTGTACGGGTCCGATGCCATTTCACCAGTAGAGATTACCATCCCCACTGCCAGAATAGCAGCTGTTAACGACCTCGAATGGGATACAAAGTCATGCTCGGAATGGCGCCTGCTGGACCTTGAAGCTTTGGATGAAAAAAGAGCGGTAGCCGAAAAGAGGACAGCGTTGTACCACAGAACTGTAGCTCAAGCCTATAACAGGACAGTCAAGCCTCGCGCCTTCAAGCAAGGAGACCTCGTGCTAAAAGTTGCGGAACATGTGAGAAGACAGGTGTCGGGACCTTCCAAGTTTGCGCCACAATGGGAAGGCCCGTTTGCAGTCAAAGAAGTTCACAGCAGCGGCTATTATCGCTTGGTCTCTGTCAAGGAAGGCACGCTGACAAACCCCGTCAATGGGAAGTGGCTCAAGCTCTACTACTGCTAAGTTAACTTTATGCCTAGTACTTTTGTATTTTCTCTCTGTCAAAAAAAAATAGACTCCTTCTGTCTTATTTTCACGTTTTGAAAAAAAAGACACTTTTGTATGATGCACCATTATGGTAGCAAGGGCTTTTGCAATGAGAATGAAGGAATATTTTGAAAAAAATATATTGTGTCTCCAAAACTTTACTATTATTAACCCTTTATCAAATTTTCTATATATATATATATATATATAAACATGCTACTTAGTAGTAAAACATGCCGGGCAAAGTCACTTAGATGGGGTCCCCAAGCATCACGCTTAAGCAAAAAAAATAATAATAGCATAAGGCATGTTGCAAAGAAACATGCAATTTTGAGATGCTGGAACAATACGATACAACACCTGGAAGCTTTATAGAGCCCAAGTAGAAATCATGCACATATTGGTTCGACCCTTTGGGAAAGGTGGGAAGCTATTTTGTCAAGCTTAGAATCTAGAAAAGCCATGCAAAAGAAGCTTTCGAAGATTTTGCTTCTAAAAAAAAAAAAAAAATTTTGACAGCATATACCCTGTTTTCAATGATATCCAACCTGTCAAAAATTTCAAGCAGTCCATAAAGACAATTCTGGCCAACAAAGCAGTACATATACATATCTACACAGGAAATATGCAACATGCCTCAAGCATTCGGAAATTCATACAAGCTTCAGTAGTTTAATATCAAAATTACAAAGGCATAACGACGTAGTCGTTAGAATCAAAAAAAAAAAAAAAAAAAAACAACAAACAAAGCAAAATAAAACTGCATATGCTGAAGGTTCACGCGCCCTTAAGTCACAAAGAAAAGCAGGATCATGTGCCAAGCTAAATGGTCTCCAAGCTAAGGATGGGCAATCTGCAAAAGATAAAAGAAAATGTGTGTCAAAAAATAGCTGCTGCTGGAATACGTAATAATAAAAAAAAATGGATGAGCTGAGTACCTGTAGGCTATGGGGAATGTCCGAAAAGAACAAAGGAAGCCCCAGGAGATAATCTGGCCGCTGCCTCCGTCACGCACTCAGCGCTGTCAACAGAAATACCCTTAGCAAGAAGAAGGGCATGCATCTCCCGGCGCTGGTTCTCCAACTCCTGTTGTTTAATATTCAAGGCATCTGCAGCAGCTTTTACTTCATCAGAATCATGCGATAATTGCATACTACGAATGGCCCGTGCTCCAAAGACGGCACGTGCTAAGCTCTTCACGAGTTTAAGAAGAAATTCCACGCGAAAGCCCAGAATCATGGCCTCGCATATTGCATCTCGCCAACAGAGCAGTTTGTGATCCGTAATATCAAGGAGTTGCATGGTGTCCATTCCGTGAAGTACTAAGCCAAGGGCTCGAAGGGCAGTACACCTTGAGAAAGAAGAGGTGACATCTGTAGCTTCCATCAAACTTCCGTATTTGTCCATGAACCTTTTCAAGGCTGCAACCGTCTCTGGATACACGAGGGCACCTTGGAATGTCGCATAACCATCGAATCTGTGGCAAAGCGGAAGAAGTTCATCAATGGATCTAAGAATGGTGACACCACCATCAAAGAAGGCTTTGAATGCCGTGTAGGAGTTTTCCCAATCTTGCCAAGACATGCCTTTCTCGAATGAACGCCCTTTTGAGGAACCTGCGATAAAAGCATCACCATTCTTATGACTATTGTCAATAATCCCAGCAAAGGGATGTGCTGCTGGAAGAAGTGGAGCGGTGCCGGAAGCTATGTCAGGTGCGTTCGGAATTGGAGAGATAGGAGGAGGAACTGTTGGAAGTGGCGGAGAGGCGTCAGCAGCCATGTCAGGAGTACATGGGTTAGGAGAAGGAGGAGGTTGCACTGCCGGAAGGCTCAGGACAGCTTCAGCGACAGTAGTAGGAAGGGCAAAATCAGCCTCCGATGGAGCACCTATCGTGCCTTCAATGGTGGGCACGACCTGCAGGAGAAAGGCGGAGTATGAACTAGAGGACACAACGGGCAGTATGCAATGTCAATATTCCAAGCAAAACAAGCAAGAGGGATATTTGATACCAGTTCAATGTCGACGCGCTGTCCATGATCGCTAGTCAAAGCAGGAGTCGTATCTGAGTCATCGAGCTCCCCCAAGCTAGTGCCGAAAGGCCGGATAGGTGTCTTCGTCGTGACTATCGTATTGGCCTTCATCAAGGTCCTCATCCATGCCACTTGTATCGCGAGCGCTCTCTTGCTCATGAATGTTAGTCTCAGTTCCCGCAGCGCCACTGTCATCACTATCATCACTGTATCATCAACCGTCACCACTACTTTGGGTCCCGAGTCTTCACCTTTATTCTTTACGGGTATTAGCAAACCGCGTTTCAAGAATACGCATGCTTCGACGTTTCGGGGTCACGGAAAACCCCTTACCCTTGCCTTTACTTTGGGAAGTACCTGCAAAATAAGATAAAGGGATACTTATATGTACGCAAAGAGCGGGGAACAAAGGGAGCAAACCAATAGCAATACTTACTGTGAGGAGATGAAGCTTTTGGAGCTGCTCGCTCGCTGCTGCCGGAAGCTACAGGCTGCTGCTGTAAAGGCTCCGGCAAGGCAACTTTTCTTGAGCTAGGAGGACCACTTGCTGCTACCTTGGGGATGAACCTTTTCGGCCCTTTTACAGCTTGCCTTTTCTCGGCGCTGCAGCTTTCCTCGCGCTTCCGTTTCCCATGTACAACACTTTTCCCGGCGCTGTGAGAACCCGACTTTTCCAACTTCCCGCTTTAGCTTCGAAAAGTCACCAACAATCTCTCCGCTTTTGGAGATAAAGGGCAGATTTCGCTTCTCGCTCAGGGAAATGGCTTTCTCTTCCGACACTAAACGGGCATGATGAATGATGGTGGGAATCAATCTATCACAATGGGCAGCATGGAATCGGCTGAACGAGGCAAAGCACGGTTCCAATAATTTTGGTAGGCCTTTGAGAGACTACCAACGCGCTGCCGGCTGGCCAGAGCAGGGCAAGAGGTCTGCCGTCTCCCGGCACACTGTCACCAGTCCAGAAAACCCTGTGCAAGGTCAAGGAACCTCCATGGTTGGGACGAGAGGGCACGCCTTGGTCAAACCCAAGCTGTCGTCTAACCCGGTAAGGGGAATAATGCACAGAAATCTCCAAGTGGTCATCACCGAATGTGGGCAGAGGGAGGCATGCGGCACTCAACAATGCCTCTCTGCGTAACCGACAACCTTGTGTTGGCATGGCCAGAGCCTCCATTAAAGCAGCAGAGTCAGCGTAGAGGGGCATACTTCTAAAACCCTCTGATGAGGCACAATAGGGACGGAAAATAAATTGCTCAACATCGTCCAGCAGCTCTAAAAAGTTTTGGCCCTTCCGTTGCATGCGACGGGACCATCTACAGATCAGAGGAAGACTACCCGGCATGTAGGAATTCTCGTCCGAAGCAACCAGTGACTCAGCCTTTGAATAAGGGAGTGGAGATACCTCTACCCCTTTGAAGCGTTCCCATAAAAAGATCTGCAGAAAACTGGAGTTTACAAAAGTCTCCACAGCCATGGTTCCGGCCGCCCCCTTCTCAAGAAATTGAATCTGGTCAAGCAAGCGATATAAGTGCCCCAAGAACATGGGGGCTAAAAGGGATCATGCTACCCCGTGCTATTGCCAAAGCCAACGGAAACACTCTCCCATGCAAGCAGTCTTGAGAAAAATCACAAAAGAGGAACCTCCCGAGCCACAAGGACACGAACGCAGCAAGGCGACACGGCTCATCTCGGTCACTGTTCCCAAAAAACTGAATCCAATTACTGGATCTTAGAGAGGTACTAGGAGAGGTCGGAGCACCCTTCCGCAAAGTCTCAAGCTTTAGCCCATCTTCCGGGGTTAATGCAATGTGGAAAGGATCTTGGCTGCCGCAAAGTGGGAGATGGAAAATATTAGCTACATCCTCAAGCGTGGGAGTGAACTCTCCCCACGAACAAATAAAGGTGTGTGTCTCGGTGCTCCACCGTCTAACCAAGTGTCGAAGCGTCTTGACTTCAATATGGATGTCGCAAGCCTTAGAAGCAAAGATGGCTTCCAACACACCTGCCCGGCTTAGGATATCATGGGTAGACGGGTTCTTCAGTTCATCGTCAACCCACTCCGACCAACCCTTGCTGGTGCTGCAGGGATATTGAAAGAACAAAGGAACTGCCGGAAACAGACCCCTTTCTATGCAGCACCTTGATACGGATGCGGGGTCGATCACTGGAGTAGCTTCTGGCGCTGGTTCTTCATCAACAATTATATCCTCGTCGGCACCCTTTGACAGGACCCGTCCCGAATTTCCCGGAACCCGAGACGAACCCTGCGGAGACCCCGGCATCACACCCACGCCGGGTTTACTCCTTAAATCTACGTCCTCGTTCACCATAGAGGATTAAGGGCACGAGACTTTCTGCCGAAAATTTCGGCAGAGTCTCCCCTGTAAATTGAATATTCCCCAAAAGTTCCACCTGCATAAAACTCATTTTATAACCCAACCAGCAGCACGCACAATATAATCTCATGCAATTTACATAAATGGCCTCCGGCCTTCAAATGATTCTAGCAGACTGCCCACACTGTTTTCAAAATAACTTCATGCATCAACCATGCATATAACAAATTCCAAATCTCTCTATGCACACCTTCACTCACTCAGTCCACCGGACAAGCCTCAATTCAACCAAGTTTCGGGACCAACCACGAGGTCCGCATCATACTCGATAAAACCACCTAAGTGGTGTCTAGGTCGTGGCTGCACCTAGGCGCTATCCCAGGCTGCCTACGTACCCTACTAAGGGATCAAGCCACACGTAGCTCTTTCCTATCAATCCTGGCTCCTAATATCAATTAAACCATTACATCCATATAAATTCATACATTCTCGGGTTTATCCATCACAACACACCAAACACAATCACATAGCTCCACTCATACGTCGGGACGCACCCGGCCACGTACGGGGTCTGTCAACACGCCGGCTAACCCAAAGACGCGTGCGACCTCACACTGGGCCTGGCTACATTCTCACCAGCCATCATACCATCATATCTCCCACTCATACGTCGGGACGTACCCGGCCACGGGGGTCTGTCAACACGCCGGCTAAACCCAAAGGACGCGTGCGACCTCACATGGGCCTGGCTCATTCTCACCAGCTCCGCATCCAATATATCTCCACACTCATACGTCGGGACGCACCCGGCCACGTACGGGGTCTGTCAACACGCCGGCTAACCCAAAGACGCGTGCGACCTCACACTGGGCCTGGCTACATTCTCACCAGCCCTCACACAATCATATCTCCCACTCATACGTCGGGACGTACCCGGCCACGTACGGGGTCTGTCAACACGCCGGCTAACCCAAAGACGCGTGCGACCTCACACTGGGCCTGGCTACATTCTCACCAGCCCTCACACAATCATATCTCCCACTCATACGTCGGGACGCACCCGGCCACGTACGGGGTCCTGTCAACCGCCGGCTAACCCAAAGACGCGTGCGACCTCAACTGGGCCTGGCTACATTCTCACCGCCCTCACACCTCTATCTCCCACTCATACGCCGGGACGCACCCGGCCACGTACGGGGTCTGTCAACACGCCGGCTAACCCAAAGACGCGTGCGACCTCACACTGGGCCTGGCTACATTCTCACCAGCCATCATACCATCATATCTCCCACTCATACGTCGGGACGCACCCGGCCACGTACGGGGTCTGTCAACACGCCGGCTAACCCAAAGACGCGTGCGACCTCACACTGGGCCTGGCTACATTCTCACCAGCCCTCACACCATCATATCTCCCACTCATACGTCGGGACGCACCCGGCCACGTACGGGGTCTGTCAACACGCCGGCTAACCCAAAGACGCGTGCGACCTCACACTGGGCCTGGCTACATTCTCACCAGCCCTCACACCATCATATCTCCCACTCATACGTCGGGACGCACCCGGCCACGTACGGGGTCTGTCAACACGCCGGCTAACCCAAAGACGCGTGCGACCTCACACTGGGCCTGGCTACATTCTCACCAGCCCTCACACAATCATATCTCCCACTCATACGTCGGGACGCACCCGGCCACGTAACGGGTCTGTCAACACGCCGGCTAACCCAAAGACGCGTGCGACCTCACACTGGGCCTGGCTACATTCTCACCAGCCATCATACCATCATATCTCCCACTCATACGTCGGGACGCACCCGGCCACGTACGGGGTCTGTCAACACGCCGGCTAACCCAAAGACGCATGCGACCTCACACTGGGCCTGGCTACATTCTCACCAGCCCTCACACCATCATATCTCCCACTCATACGTCGGGACGCACCCGGCCACGTACGGGGTCTGTCAACACGCCGGCTAACCCAAAGACGCGTGCGACCTCACACTGGGCCTGGCTACATTCTCACCAGCCCTCACACAATCATATCTCCCACTCATACGTCGGGACGTACCCGGCCACGTACGGGGTCTGTCAACACGCCGGCTAACCCAAAGACGCGTGCGACCTCACACTGGGCCTGGCTACATTCTCACCAGCCATCATACCATCATATCTCCCACTCATACGTCGGGACGCACCCGGCCACGTACGGGGTCTGTCAACACGCCGGCTAACCCAAAGACGCGTGCGACCTCACACTATCACTTGGGCCTGAGCATAATCACAATATGAGGGGTACGTGGGGTAGTGCGTATAGCACTGTAAACTAATATTCAATCTCCTTATATATCATTATACCTCCATACAATCAATTAAATATAACATATAATTTCTAATCATACAAACACCTTAACAAACAACTAGCATCCGATAATCCCCCATAATCCCCATGACATCAGGACCTGTCACCACGGTCATTTTAATCTTCCTAGGAATGTAATACTACCTAGGAAGTCCCACAGACAAACCAGGGTCAAACTACCCAACCTTGGTCAAACGGGCCCGCGGGGCCCACGACCTCCAATTTCCGATCCGAAAGTTCCTATAGGTTCTACAAGCTCTAGGATGCACGTCCTGCAAGTTTGGTCCAGATCGGACGGTCGGATCGCTCACGATCGCACGATCGGACGGTTACTAAAACCCTAACCCCAGGGTTGGCATTTCTGGAGTATCCGGGACTCCGTTTTACGATCCGTCGAATCCTACACGATCCTGGTAATACCTAGATCAACATATTATAATATCAGGACCATCCAACGGTCCAAACCCAGCGAACCCGGAAAATACGCGATATGCGATATCCGTTCGGGACTCTAACGATATCCAAATTGAGATCCGAGCACACCTACGCGCTCGTGACATCGAGAGGATCACAATGGGACAAAAATGCCCCTCAGCTACAGTGCCCACGCGCCGCCACACGCGCCGGCAGCGCGTGGGTGCCCAAGCGATATCGCATCGCCGGAAAAACCACAAATCACGGCTCAAGACTCCTACCCTAGGTAAAACACCTAATTTGGAGTCACTTTTGTTCTTGGACGTACCCCAAAAACTGACCGGAAGTGGCCGGAATCTCATCCCGAAATCCGGCCGAAAACCCAATTCGTAAATCGAGTTGCCTACGCTACAAATCGATCAATTCCTACCCAACAGGCAGCTAGAGCTCGGAAAATAGGTAAGAAACCATACCTTGATCGCAAGATTTGGTGGCCGGAATCGCCGGAACGAGCTCCGGAAAATCTGGGTAAAAACCGGCCGTTTTTCTGCAATTTCCGGCGATACCGCTGCCGGCTGACATCGGAGAATGGGTGGGGTAGGACGGCGAAGTCAGGCCGGTCATTTTGGGACCGGTCCCGACCCGAGTGGTGGCCGGACGAATGAACGGCCGGCCAAAACGTGGCCGGCTGTGGTGGCGGTCGCGAACCAGAGGAGAGAGAGAGGGACGCGCGGGAGAGAGAGAGTGTGAGAGAGACGGGGGCAATTCCGTCTTTTAACCAAAAATCCATTTTCCAAATATTTACGATTATGCCACTGAGCTTCTTTTGATCATATCTCTCTCGTTACAACTCCGATTCGAGCCCACTACATGTCTACGAACTCATCTCGCCGTGCTCTACGCAACGGTACATCCGGAATTCCCAAATTCCTTCCGGGCAAGAAAATGACTAAAATACCCCTATCCCACGGGTAATTTCTCATTTCACTCAAATTAATTAAAATATGGGATAAATTTGGGGTCGGGGTGTTACATACTACCCCCCTTATAAAAATTTCGTCCCCGAAATTTCATACCTGTCACTCCAAAGGGTGTGGGTACTGGGCCCGCATCTACTACTCGGGTTCCCATACTTCATCCTCCACAACCAGGTTGGCAGCCAAGTCATTCCATTTGTGATTTGATTCTCTTCTAGCTCTCCCACGAAGAGAAGTCCAAACTCCTTGACTTGTTGATATCTTCCTTCTTTCTTTAGAATCGATAAGCAACATTGCCAACACGATTCTTGAGAGGGATGTCAGAAAGGGTCATTTTTACCGAATTGTAATCATCTTCCTCTCTCTACCATGACCCATTTCTGATTCGAATCAAAGATTTCTACTCAAACGTGTTCACATGAGATGAGACCCCAAAGCAATCTCTTCATCTCCACGGTAGGTTTACCAATCCATCTAGGTCTCATCCTTGGATTTGCTCGTGGTATTCCCACCACACACGAGCCTCCTTGGTCAGACTTACAACTCCTCCATTCCCTTGTAACTTGTCCATCAACTTCCTCTGACAATTTCATCTCATCTCAGCGGATTCAATACTTTCAGCTCTTCTGCTTCCTTCCATAGGATATTGAGATACGACAATTTGGATAGACACGTTTCTAGGAACGTGACACCCTTAAGTGTACTCATCAATACCTTAAATCCATCTATGTCAAAGAATCCTCCGCGTCAAAATGATGACGTCCCGTGACGGAACCCATCATGATCCCACAACTTAAGGATGCACACAAGGTGCGGGGTCCGCAAGAAATTGAACTTAAGCTAAGCTTGCTCTGATACCAAGCTGACAGGACCCGTCCCGAATTTCCCGGAACCCGAGACGAACCCTGCGGAGACCCCGGCATCACACCCACGCCGGGTTTACTCCTTAAATCTACGTCCTCGTTCACCATAGAGGATTAAGGGCACGAGACTTTCTGCCGAAAATTTCGGCAGAGTCTCCCCTGTAAATTGAATATTCCCCAAAAGTTCCACCTGCATAAAACTCATTTTATAACCCAACCAGCAGCACGCACAATATAATCTCATGCAATTTACATAAATGGCCTCCGGCCTTCAAATGATTCTAGCAGACTGCCCACACTGTTTTCAAAATAACTTCATGCATCAACCATGCATATAACAAATTCCAAATCTCTCTATGCACACCTTCACTCACTCA